AAATGCCTAGAATGGGTGCCTTTTGAAAGTGCTTAAGCTGTTGGATTTCATTCCAGCACCTTTTGTGAATGCATTGATGACCACCCATGGCAGATCAAAGATCCTAGCTCAAGCAAGAAACATGTTTGATCAAATCTTGTGCAAAACTGTGAGCTCCTGATCACCCATGATCTAACTGTAAGCCCAGTAAGGACAATCCAGCAAAACCTTGCAGAACTTACCTTTATCAGTGTCTTAGCCACGCCAGCCTAACAAGCAAGATCCAGGAGAACTTTTGTATCAATCACTACAGCCACTTGATTATATTGTTGCCCATTGCATGGAGAAGAAGCTCAAACTTCTTCTATCACTGTGATACTCTACTATGAGGAGCAAGTAAAAAGTTCCTTGTTTTCTGTTTATGGACATGCTATAAAGACAAACACATCAGACTACTCAAAATAAGTGAAATTTTTTACTAGTAATAATGTTCTTAAAGGAAAGTTTGCAAAGAGTGTAGGACTTCTTCCTTATATTCTTCACTATTTTCTTTAAGCTTGCTATAGGAAGAATAAAATTGATAAAAAAACATTAGTTGAACTCTTTGAGAGAACTAAAATTAATTATATAAATGTATTAAAAAAAGTAGATCATATAAATTTTTTATTTATGTAAAAATTGACAATATCAAAGCAAACCAAACGTTATTGCATAGTCCAATGCAGAAAATTATATGTATTTGAGTTTGGTGGTATTGTGTATAATGCCCAACTCTCCACCTAGCAACTCTTATTTTCCTCTAGTGCCCAACTCCTCTTGTTGAAAACTAAGGAAGAAGAGAAAAAACTCTATCGCTCAGATATCATCATCACTATACATACAGAGGTGAGAGTTGTGACTCTCCAGATCCACCACATGTCACCACGTGTCTCAGCAGTACGGTGATCTCGGATGTACTACATCCTCACACCCCCACTCAGCCGAGATCAACATGAGAAGGCTGGATCAGAAAAAAGAAACTAATGCTAAACCACTAGGAAACCTATCTCACTCCCCCCACTCAGCCAAGAAAAGCTGAGCTCATGAAATTAGCATCTTGTGGTGTTGAACAACAGTAGCAGCACGTTCCAAGGTACCCAAGCTTGCACACAGCCTAGCTTGTATCAGGACCCATCAGGAACCAGCATCTTGTTCCATGTCCCCCACTCAAATGTGATCTCTCCATCAGCCTCAAGGCCCTTGCGCACAGCAATTCCTGAGAGAAGCCTCTTGGCAGCATCAGCAAGTCTCCAGCCCAAGGAAGCCTTCCCTTGTAGCAGCAAGGGCATCAGATTGTCTTTAGCAGTAGCAAGCAGTGTCACAACCCTTCCAATTCAAATCCAGGCCAGTCTTGATCAAGAACCACCTCCATTTTAGGGTTGCCTGCACAAGACAAAATAAACAAGAAAACCTCCATCTGCACACCTCTAGTGGCTCTTACTTTCCTCCAATGCAACATATCTCCTCCCTCCAACACTCTTCCTGTAGCAACTCTCCTCCATGTCCTCTAGTGCTCCTCCTGCAACAACTCTCTTCCACATTGTACTTTTGCCAATCCTACTCTTGGATTTTTCAGTTTTTTTTTATTTTCATCAAATCATTCTTTCTCACCTCTAGCTCCTTCAAAACCCCTTGTGCATTGAGTCTCCTCCAGCTCCTCCAGCACTCCTCCTATAGCAGCTCTCCAGCTCCTCCAGCACTTCTCCTGCACAGCTCTCCTCCAACTCCTCTAGCACTCCTCCTACAACAGTTCTCCTCTAGCTCCTCTAGTAGATGGCTATGCCACGGCTAAGGCCAGCCAAGGTAGTGCTAGCCATGGCCGAGACCTTGTGCCACCATGGCTGTGCTTGCTATGGGCCATTGGTGTGTAACTTTGGCCCTAGCTGTATGGTTATAGATACCACAGCCAAGGACAACATCATTGGCAATCAAGGTTGCCAGTGGTTGTGGTAAGCTTGGCAAAACATTATCTTTTATGTTGAGAAAGGACCAATTCGCACATTTATTTAGTGAAAAAAAAACTTAAGCGACCCACTTTAAAAATTAAGAAAGTTGGGTTCGCACATTGAAGAAATTTGTGTTACAAAGTAAACTTATAAGGACTTTTGCATTCGCACATGTCTTAGATTTAAGTGGAAAAACACCCTCGGATTCGCACTTAAAAACAATGCATTCGAACACTTAAAATTCACTTAATTCAAATTTTGAAATTTCAAATTCAAATTCAAATGTTTAGAATTATATCCCGGCAAATTTCAAAGCAAACACGAACGCCACTGGCAAAGACAGAGGGAAAACGTGAGGTTCTCTCTAACCTCTTTCGCATCCTCTAGACTGTGCAACTCCTCATGAGGCTCCCCTTCCGCTTGCTCGGGATCACCGTAATCGACAAAGAGGTCCTGGTCCTTGAGCCTTTTCACCTCTTTCCTCCAAGCTTGGATCTCCGCCCGAAGATCAGTCTCCCCAACATCAATCAAGAAATTGTGCAAGATGCAACAACTCTTGATGATGTTGGGAAGGTACTTTGGCTGGATCCTTTGTTTTTTATCCAAGCATCTGAACTTCATTTTAAGAAGTCCAAATGCTTGCTCAATAACAATCCGAGCAAGGTGTTGATGAAGGTTGAAAGCTGCCTTGGATGGTGTCGGGTTTGGAGCTGAGCAACAACCAAAACAAGTGAACCAAAGAAAGTAAAATGAAGAAAACTTACTTGTGTGTGGAATCATCAGATGCTGCTGGAGTTGGTACTCTTTGTCCCCCACTAGGTATGGCTTGATCCTATCATCATATGCTAACACCGTGGGCGATGTCAGCAGCTCCCTTGCTACAATCTTGTTCCTGAGGGTTGAATTACGAAAATCCCTCATGTCATGGACGCGTCCTGAAAGCAAAAAGAACATTTTAGAACCATCCACAACACACAAAGAAACATACCTGGCCACCCAGCGTAGACACTGAGGAACCTCTTCTGGGCATCACAAACCCCTTGCAAGATGACTGAGTACCGCTGCTTCCGGTCGTAGTAGCTCTCGCCGTCCAGTCTAGTAGATCAGATGATCTCAGAGTACAGTCGATCGCCCCAGCGACATTAGGCAGTCGGGTTCCTATTGGTCGTCAAAACTTATGACAATCCAAAAAACATAAGAAAATGTACCTGTCACTTGTCGAAAGCCAGCAGCAACAGCTCGAACCTCCTTGGCGGTTGAAGGAAAATGAATCTTGTACCTGACACACTTGACAATCACCGCAGTAGTGTCCATGACAATCTCATGAGCTGTGGACTCCCCGAACTTGTCCGCCAGATCCAAGTAATCTGTGTTCTTGAAAAGCTTGTACAAAGTCACCCCCAGTCGAACATCCACCAGCACTGCACTCCTCCAACCGGTATCTTGCTTCCGGATCTCGCTCTCCAGCATGCCACAAATGGTGAAGAAGGTCCTCTTCTCCATCCCCACATCGTAATACTCCAAAGAAAACTTACTCCAGGTGGTGACATTTTGAGGCTTCACCCACCACAGGCGATGCAAAACCTCCTCCCAATCACAGCCCGACGAAGTTCCCGGTCTTCTTCCTCAGGCAGCACTTGGAGACCGGGGCTCTTGTCATGCATGAAAGCTTGCACAGCAAGCAACAAAACCTCGCCAAACCCTAACATAAGAATCTTCTCGAATATTTCCGGAATAATTTTTAACAACTTCCCTTAAAATAAAATGACCCCCCAACACTTTAGATTTGGTCGGGGGTTTTTAAAAATTACTTAAGAATCCTCTAAATTTGCCTTTTTGTTTTCGTGCGAATCCAAAATACTAATAATTTTCCCATAAAAAATAAGGGTAAGTACATTACTTTAGCTTAAGTTATTGTGCAAATAGGGAAAATGTAAATTTTGCACTTTAATTTTCGTCTTGGTCCAGAGCTAAACTCTTATAAACATCTCTCAACATGCTCATTTAATTAACCACCAATGAACGGCAAAGATATCTTTACCAGCACTCCCCCCTAATTTTCTTTCGAAAATAAAAAACTAAAAGCAAAGAAGATATTATCAAACACTATTTTTTCAATGTTTGTTTTTTTTTCTTATTTTCTACTATTAATTAACTTACAACTCAATCACACAATATTTGGAGCTGGAAGAAATGAATCCAACTTAATTTCAGCAAACTGATGAGGATGGACAATTTTTATTTTCATTTCTTTTGCACTTCTTAATTTACATTTCTTAATTTGTTTCTACTCTTCTTATACACACTTCTTCGGTGTATTTGGCCCATTATATTTAGCTGAAACACATGTACATGTACACTGGTACACTACATACTAAACCTATGATACACACTTCTTGCTAATTCTCAACGATTTGTGCATCTGCTGGTTGATACACACACACACACTGTGTAGGGCTAGCTCCATCCACAAGAGAGCCTTGAGGTTGGGCACCAGAGGCTGGAAGAAGTCGTCACAGGAGAGAGCAAGCAGGTCACCACTCACGACAAGCTCAAAAAATCTGGAAGGAAGACATTGCCGAGGAACTGGTGAGTATGTCGCAAGAAACAAATGCCATCGTCACCAGCTTCCACACGTCTTCAACGTGCTCTAGGAGCACAAACCCAAAGTTGGTCATGCCGCAAGCTGCCATCACCTTGCTCCCGGAACATGAGGCGGTACTTGCTATCAGCAAAGAGTTTGGGTACCGGCAAGTCTTCATAAAGGCTTATTATCTGAATCTGGGCGCTCCATTTTGGGGCACCTGTTGGCAGGTTTAGTCAGCATTCCCCGATTCTGCTACCAAAAAGAAATTTAAATTTAAGACAACGTCCTTTTGCATAGTTTTAACTTTTAAATGTTAATTTTTTCTCCGTGAAGTTCAGGTTGACGGCGGTACTTTGACGAGGCATGCTCACTCAGCGGCCCATGTTTCTGCTTGACTCACGGAGGGTTTAAAACCAGGGATAACTGCAAGAAAGAGCACTGACATGTTTTCAAAAGTAGTTGTCACAGGAACATCTGCCATCCTGGAACACATGAACCCGACTGGCATCTTTGCAGAGGATTAGCCTTTTTTCCAGCTTAGAGATGAGAGCAGTGGCTGCATGGCAATCGTCACAAACTCGGAGATTTTTCACAATTCTGATGGTCTCCTTCTGGTGCGAGTTCACCAGAGCACACCCCAGCACAAGCTTCTCACTGTGGCCGCACAAGTGATCCTCTTTCTCTTCCTCGGGTATGTCTTTTAGAACGTTGATCACATCGCTCGCGTACCCCTCCTCTTTCATTCTCAGCAACAATTGCTTGAGCTTGGCCGCAATCTCGTCGCTCTGTGAGTGACTCCTATCCCCGACAGAAAAAGAATGCACTTTTCCTGAGCTAACATCCGTCCACCAGCTTCTCCCGGGCTCCCTGAAGCTGCCTTCACCTCTCATTCTCTCCACAACAGCGGCCCTTTCACTGAGCATCCCCAGGTTTCCAAATATATTGGCCATCAATGCGTAGGGCGTGCCGCTCTTGGGATCCATCTCCACAAGACGCTCAAACGCGAGTTTGCCGATCGTGTAATTCTTCCACTTCCGGCAGGCTCCGAGCAGGGACGTACAAACCACTGCATCCGGTTCAAAAGGCATGGCTCTGAGAACTCTCACAGCTTCGTCGAGGAGGTTAGCTCGCCCGAGCATATCGATCAGGCACACATAATGCTCCAGACGTGGCTTGACTCCATACTGCTTGGGCATTTCATCCAGAAGCTGCCTTCCTTTCCCGACCAGACCACCATGGCTGCAAGCGTTCAACACCGAGACAAAACTCACATCGTCAGCTTTACAGCCCTCCTCCTGAATCATGGAATAGAAACGCTCCAAGGCCTCGATCGATCGGCCCTGGAGAGTGTAAGCCTGTTGATATTTGCAATTCACAGCCACTCCAGATCAGGGGGCTCATCGTCTTCCTCCTCTTCCTCCTCCATTCAACCCAGGATTTAATCCCTGATCTCTGATGCCATGTTGAAAACTAAGGAAGAAGAGAAAAACTCTATTGCTTAGATATCATCATCGCTATACATATAGAGGTGAGAGTTGTGACTCTCCAGATCCACCACGTGTCACCACGTGTCTCAGCCGTATGGTGATCTCAGATGCCTCCACTGTCTCAACAGAGGCTGCTGAATCAAGCTTCTCTATTAAACTGGCTGGTATTGCTAATACCATATTTAGCGTGCATGAGAGAGTTCCAGAGACCCGTGTTGTCCTGAGCTCGGCACTCGTCAAACGCTTCCTGAGCAGAATCAACATCGCCGCATTCACTTCGTTTTGATCCATGGGAAAAACTCCACACATTGCACTTAATCCTTTGGAGAGATGACTATGATAAAAGAAAGAGCAGTCCAAGCATGGAATTGTCATTGTAAGGCCATTGCCTTGCCTCCTCAATGCAAGTTGATGCCAAAATGGTTTGCATAAATCAGTCCAATCTAATATAAAAGAGCACAATAATGATTATTTTAACCAGTAGATTAATCCTTATAGTTTTAATTTAAAAGAATGATAATTTTCTTTATTTTTCTATTGGTGTCTATCTTGATGATATTGTTATCTTCTCTAATACTCAAGAAAAACATGACTATCATATTTGTATTATTTTCCAATACCTTCAATAATACTACCTTTTGCAAAGTTGGAAAAACATTCTTTTAATCAAGATTTAGTGGAGTTTTTAGGCTATATTATTTTTTCATATAGCATCATTATGGATTCTTTCAAGATTTTTATCATTCTTAAGTGGTAATGCTCAACCTTTATTTATAATATTGTGAACTATCAGTGTTCATTTGAGGTTTTTCCAAAATCCCCCTTTTCATATAAAAAATGCTTATTTTGTGTAGCCTTTTGCTATATAAACTTTTTTTACTCTCCTAAACTTTACATTCAATTCTATCTTAGTTCTTATCCATCTGTAAAGAATGACTCAATAGACAATCAATAGAGTTCAATAGAGTTTTATATAAAAAGAAAAGGCCTATATATAAGAGTGCACCTTCTTTTTTAATCATTTAATGGTTTTGGGATAACCAAAAAGAATAATTTGAAAAACAATCCACAAAGTTTAAATATAAAAAAAGGCCCATGAATAAAAATGAATTTCAATCATTTGGGATATTTAGGGTTAAGTATTCTTGGGCAAAAGTAACAATGTTCTCAAGAATCCTAAATCAAAGAGTTTAAAACTTGGAGTTAAGAGTTCTTGGGTTTATACTACAAAAACTTATTAAAGAGGTTTTAGGTCTGACTCTTTGACTTTATTGGTTAACTAGAGAAATTATAGCACATGTTAGGGTTAAAAATCCTAACCAAATTCAACAACTTACACCATCCAAATAATATAAAGCCATATTTTGTTAAAGTAAATGCTTTAGATTTTGCTTTAAACACTGTCTTGTCATAAAAAGGACTAAATAACAAACTTTACCCAATTGCTCTCCACTCTCTCAAAAGTATAAATTTATAAAAAAATTATTATGACAACTTCAATAAAGAGTTATTTTTGCCCTAAGGGTTCTTTCCATGTGATCTTTACATATGGTGATCACAAAACCTTCATTATTAGTCCTTGGTATTGGTATCAAGTTTGATGGTCATAGTCACTATCTTATTTTTAATTTATAATTGCACATTAGTTAGGAAAAGTTAATGGGATCTTAGTCTCACTTCCAAATTAATTCTCTTGCATAATTATCTGCTCCTCTTTATTACTGCATCAAGTAACAGAGTGAAGTAACTCAAGCCATTGATCTATTTATTCAGAAAATTTAAGAATCAATTTATTTTAATACTTCTCTAACTCATTATGATGATTATTAATTTTTTCATTTCTAAAACAAGCTTCTTCATTGATATGCTCAACTATATATCTAATGGTGAGATATAGTTGGGTATTGTTTAAGTGTGCTAAGACACCCTAGCAATAGGGCACATTAGTTTAATAATAGTTTTGGTGGCTTTATGTGGATAAGTATGTATAAATTTCTAAATTTGAACTTCTCAGTAACTTAGTAATACTCAAACTTAAGGACACTTAACCCTATCTTAAAACCCTTAATCGATTGTAAAATAAAATACATTATTATTCATGAAGCCTTTTCCCTTTGACAGAAATGATTTAAGAGATGACTGGGGTTAAAATATATTTTTTACTCTTGCTTGCAAGCTCACACATTTATAAATAAAAGATAAAAGCTGTAACTCCCTTAAGAGTTTTGTTGTTTGGACTCCCTACCTTTTGCATCAGTAAGCTAAACTGCAAATGTTAATTTTAATATGTGGTGTGATTCTTTTAACCAACTAACAGAGTCAGATCTAAGAACTTTTTAATACCAAATAAACACTTTTAAATTTAAACTTTCTAAGACTTCCCTCAGCATAGTGGTACTCAAAACCCAAGGATAATTAGCCCTAAGACCTTTAACTAATTGAAAAAAAAACACATTCTTGTTTATAGGCATTTTTCCTTTTATATTTAAATACATCATTTTTCAAGTCTATTTATAGTATATTAAAATCTTTATCCATCGTGCAAATAGACCAAGATACTTTAATATCCTTCATCTAGTTTTCTCTAGCCCCTTCCTCTTGCTGCAAGAGCTTGGAAATTTAAATATATAGTTTTCTTTATTAATATTCCACTTTCTTGAGGATTTCATAGTGAGTCAACAAGTTTTCCAAAATAATATATTTTTTGCTATGTCAAAAATGATTTTTACTTATAAGGTTTAATATCTTCATGGATTGTTGGATGGTATTGAGGGTTTCAATTTATTTTTATCTTTGTATGCTTAGTTTCTTTCTTTTTCCTATGTCAAAAGTAAGTTATGAACTTCTCACTTGATAAGTAATCAAAGTATACTATTCATAATCTTGAATAGTATGTTCAATATCTACAATATTGAACATAGTGTAAATATTGGTTCACTATCACCTTTCTTATGCTCAAGTTGTTTATTATCATTCTATTAATCATTTTCACCAATTTAATCTTTATTTTTTCGTTGGATCAAAGGTTTAACTTCTTTGTTATCATTGAAAGGCCATACATCTTTTCAATAAATTGGATTATCAATTATAAACAATAAAAAAAAATTTAAGAGATGATTTGTTAAAATTTTAATATAAAGAGAAGGGGCTATCAATAAAAGTGTAATTTTCTTTTTTAATCAGCTAAATATTTTGAGATATTTGGTGTTAAAGTGTTTTTAGTTTGAGTAGTATTGGGTTGGATGACATTTTAAGAAGTTCAAATTTATGAGCTTACATCAATATATTGGTCCTTTTCTTATGCTTTCTTATACCTTTGAGGTCATTTATTAGTTCAATCTCCCTCCATTTATAAATTTATATCTTGTGTTCCATATTTTTTTATTGAAACTTTATTATGCCCATTTTGATCCACTACCACCTCCTTCAAAGGTTATTTCTAATGAGTAGGAGTTTGAGGTTGTTATCATCCTTGACTCAAAGTACCAATATTGCAAACTTTATTATTTAATTAACTAGCTTGGGCATTTTCTTAGTGATTGTACTTGAGAGTAAATATTATTGGGTAATTAATTGTTAGTGAGGGTAATACTTAACATCCGAATTGATTAAAAACTTCATCAATAAAACAAAAGTAAAATTCTCACTCTCAACATCCAAATCAATTTGAGGAGGGAGAAAGAACACTTAACTCAAAACTAAATTAAGAATGAGAATCACAATAGTCAAAAGTAATTAATATACTAAGAGAAGAAAATACTACAGATGAAGAAGAAAAATTAAGAATATGAAATACTACAGATGAAGAAGGTAGTTTAAGCTGAAAAATAAGAAATAACTAAGAAAGAATAAAAGGTAAAGTGAATAAAAGATTGAAGAATTGACACTTACACAATAAAATCTTCAATTTATCTCCAAAATTATCCTTGAACTCTTTATCACAATTAGGAATCCATTCAAAGTTATAAACATTATTTTCTCATAAATTCAATCTTTGAATATATCAGATGTTAATTTAACTTTTAGTGTTGTGAAGCATGATTATGCTAATGTTGCTCCAATTGATGTATTACTTCAGCTTCCATGGGATGTGATTATATAGCTTCTTCTGTTCTCAATGTCTTACCATCTCTTGCTAATATAGAGTTTAATCATGATATTAATTGGAGAGCTAGTCTGGTTGTTGGAAGATACAGTAGAAACAACATTGCCTAATGAGAACAATAGAGTAGCATTTGCAATCTTGATCAAATTACTCTTTGATTGACAATAATATGTTATTGTGAAAGAACAAAATATAATGAAGATCAAATAAAAGAGATCTACACAAAAAATTCTAAATCTATTGAGAAACAAATAAACCATGATCTTGAACACTAGAGCAAAGTACTATTAACAAATTTTTGCCTTTTGAAGACAATTTAGTGCTTATAATGCTTCTTACCTCCACCAATATAATATATTAATTAGGTTTAAACTCCTACTTAGATCAATCCCAAATCTATATGCTATACTATTATAATTAGTATAGCTATTATAAAAAGTTATTAGGGTTTTATAGCAATAGCTGGGTTTGAAAGAAAGATTGACATTGTGATTGTGGTTGTAATGCAAAAACTAATGGAAAAGCTCAATATTAAACTTAATGAAAATAAGCACGTTGGTAGTAAGAGTAAAATAATCTTTGGGATAGACCATAGCTTGTGTTGGTGCTCCAACACTTAAGGAAATATTATAGGAAAACCTTTGTGAACTTTCCAAATTTATAGGGTGAATCATAATAAATAATGAAAATAGTGAAAAGAACTTTAACTAGCAGCACCAAACACTCCTCTCACTCCGCGTGGATCTTACATGCACTCAAGAAGCATCCCCAATTAGAAACATCTGGAAGAAAGCTCCACAACACTGATCAAATACTATGCTTGGCTGTAAACAGCATCTAAACAATGCTGCCAAGTGTCCATTTTGCCCAACTCTCTGATTCCACATAATAACTTTGGAACTTCTACAGTGTCAAACAAGCACTTTGCTTCGTATACATGCCCTAGTTCGGCATATGCGGTGATCTTAATATTCCAAGAAACACTGTCTCTCTGGGCTATCAGATCAAACACTCTTTTAGTTTTTGCAAGATCATCTTGATTGCAAAGTCTTGCTAGAAAACTGTCCACGAGACAAGGTTTCTTTGAGGCATTGAATCAAGAGATTGTGTAACTGGTCGACTTCACTGCACAGGGCGTTTGCTACGTCGTGCTGTGGCATTATTTCATATGTGTCTCTTGCTAGATTAGTGCAGCCATGTTGCACAAAAGAGTTGATAAGTGTTGCCCATGACACTGAATCTCTCCGCGTCATCCTCTCAAAGAACTTTCGAGCTCCATCAAGATCCCAGCACTGGGCATGCAACGATCATAGACTGGATTGCTTGAACCATGATCTCTTTCCATCCTATCAAACAGTAAATCATCCGGCAAAGTTGTAAAGCTTCCGACGGTTTGGGGTTTAGGGTTTTTAGATTATGTCTCGCATTCTCCGGGGATCTCTCAGGGCGAGCAGGATCCAGCGGCGATCGTGGAGCGCGTCCGTCGCGCCGGCGCCGGCGGAGGATGATCCCAGGAGCTTGTATGGCAGTGGATGGGATGCGGGGCCGCGAGCGGTGAGAGTGGCGGTGTGGTGGGATTTCGAGGACTGCGACATCCCAGCTGGGATTCCTGCGACGAATGTGAGCAATAATATCATCTCTGGGCTGCGAACCAGGGGATTCAAGGGTCCAGTGTCGATCGACGCGTATGGTGATACATGGCAGCTCTCGCGGAGCACACAGGAGGCGTTGGCTTCCACTGGGATTTCTCTCCACCATTTGCCATCGTGTAAGTTCTCGATCTTTTCTCTTTGCTGGATTTTCGTGGATCCATCGTTGTGATACCTGTTTTTTCTATCCAGCTCGCAAGAATTTGGCCTCAGATCGAACTCTCATGCTGGATTTGGTGCTGTGGACTGTCGATCATCCGCCACCAGCGCATCTCTTCGTCATCTCCACGGACAGTGATCTCTCCAGTGCATTACACTCCCTCCGGATGAAGAACTACAACGTTCTTCTGGCATGCAACTCTCACTCGGCCTCCCCGGCTCTCCTTGCCGCAGCTTCGGTAGTATGGCAGTGGGGTAAGCTCGCTAGAGGAGAAGGCCTAGTAGCACAGACAATCGTGAGCAGCGTCCATCGCTCCTCGCAGGAGTTTCTACAGGAAATAAGTTCGCCGCCGCCACCGCCACCATCGTCTCCTCCACCATCATTTACGCCGCCAACGCCAACGCCAACGCCTCCACCATCATTTACGCCGCCAACACCACCGCCACCTTTGTCTCCATCGCTGCCAAGTTCGCCATCTTCATACACTCCATCTCCGCCACCACCTATTCCAGCATCACCACGTCCAGCTCAAGATTCTCTGCCAGGGAGACTAGAGAAACAGGATTCTTTACAGGACTTCCACAAGGATATTTGCGCACTGCTCCAGCAAGCGGCCTCGACGCTCAGCCAAAAGCCTCCGGAATCGATGCTTTTGAGTGTGACCAAGGCAGGTAGGAAGGATGAGCACTCCACAGCAACAGAGAACAGGAGTGTTTCGAAGGAAAAAGCCCTGGCGAATACTGAAAACGACTCCGGCACCAACCAGCCCGAGTCTATAAAGCAGTCGTCCTGTGAGGCACCGTCCGGGGGCTCCACGCATGATGCTCGGCAAAGAGATAGCAAAGTCGCCGTCCAAGTCGCAAAGCAAGTAGCAGCCACCACCGAGAGCTCGACGACTCAGTGTCAGCGGCAGATAAATGCGGTGACAGTGAAGGATGGAAACGCAGTGAGCACATCTCAAAGTCGCTCGCCAGGTGCTGTCACCAGCGCCCACGAAGGAAAGTGGACGTGGAGAAGGTTTCTGTTCGGATCCAAGGCTGCGAGTCGAGCAAAAGTCGATGGTGGACAGGAGGAGATTAAGGAAAGCTTTCCCAGCCATTCTATTTCTCCGCCAGACGATGAGGCATCAAATCAATCATTTCCAAGGCGCTCCTGGAGTCACTTCTGGAGGCGTACAACGGCAGCAAAAGAGGACAAGGGAGACAACGCGTCGGATATTGTGAAACAGTTTTCTAAGACTGAGGAAGGTGCCTCCCTTTTATCCAAATCGCAAAGCCAGTAAGTTTCGTTTTGATGTTTTGACAGCTTGAAAGACTTTTGACACTTGCTTTCACACCGCAGGAAGGAATTCACAAGCTTGCTTTGCGAGTCCGGACCGCCATGCATTCGAAACTGGGAAGAGGACAGGGTATCAGAGGTCGTCAGCCGTCTCGTAGCCGAAAAGGAGATTGATGCCTCGGCATGGGAGCTTGAAAAGGATCCTTCCTCGCAGCTTAAAACGGAAGAAGATGACATCCAAAACTCGGACGACACTGCTCCCGCATTAAATGATCAACCGTGTCCTTGGGAAACGATACAGGGACACTACCCCAGCCTCGAGGAGCTGAGGATTTGGATGGTCTACTTTTTAAATGTGGAACAGGAGCGGAGAAGCTTCGACGTCTCTCATCTCAAGGCAGAGTTTAAGAAGCAGTTTGGCCTCTCTCTCAACCTCAACATATTCGGCTGTGTGAGGATCAAGGACCTCTTGGGCGTCATGCAAGACATCGTTCACGTATATTATCCGAAGTCTACAGTGTGCATGATAAGAACCAGGACGTTTCCCAGGCTGGCTAAGGTGAATCCACGCTCGTTGAGTGATTACGCACCGCTGCTCGAGGAGTTGCTACTGGAACACCCGGATGGAATTCCCATTAGTATGATCAAGGCCAGGTTCTACAGCAAGTTTAGCTGCGACATCGATCATCGAAAGCTTGGCTACTCGAGACTGGACATGTTTTTGAGAGCTGCACGGAGTGACATTTATGCCAGACTGGACAGTGTGGAGCATTCTGTCTATGTCTTTATTCGAAGACAAGAGGAAGAGAGTACTGGCGAGGAGGAGCAAGAGGAAGAAGAAGAACAAGGAAACGAAGGACGGCCAGCGAAATTTATCGTGGACAAGGAGATCAGCCTATGACACAGGACAGGACTAAAGCGTAAAAAATGTGTTCCTTCCGTTTTATTCTAGTTTTTGTTTTGGTAGCTAACATAGAGCTGTGTTTTCTCTCAGGAAAACTGACACAATGGAATCACGCTCGAACTGGAAAGCTGAGATGCTACATGTGCTTTGCTAGTTGGCAGCGAGAATTTTTGTTCGACGCAGGCTCTCCCATCCACTCCGTCCTGGAAAATCTTATCTTTTGCTCTAAACTTGGAGCCAGATACGTACCGAGAATCGCTCCACAGCGCTTCTCTCGAGGGAGATCAAAGATGCTGCGCCAAGTTTCCAGTTTTCACCGGGGTCCAAGCACCCTGCGGATTAAAATCTCGTCGCCAAAGGCTGTCCAGCAGCTGGATGCCTCTTCCAAGTAAGCAAAGCTGTTGTTTTCTTCCTTTTCTGCATGGGATTCGCTCGCTCACGCTATAGTAGCCAGGATTGCGACGTCTGGATTACTCTAGGATGATTGAGAGGCGACCGACACAAATCTCCTGTGGAAGCTGCATTGGCTGTTAGAAAGCGTCAACAACCGTGAAATATACAATGGCTGCGAGCGCGCGCGAGAACAAAAAAAAGGCGAGAAAAATGGCAACGTGACTCCAGGCAAGATAGCAATTTTTCACCCGCTGCTTTGGTTTTTCCTGAGTGACGCCAATCTTTTGTGTTGTTGCAGCTTACACATCGAAGCCAGCGGCCGACTGACACGCTTGAACCGCGGCGCTCTGCCGTACGGCTTCCTCCGCCGTTGGATCCGTGGGCTTATCGGACGGCCCCAGGCGGGTAGCCGGATGTGGGGAAATACCCCTGCTCTGGCGCTCTTGTGAGCACAAAAGGCCAACTTTTCCAATGTGGGTAATCTCAGGGATCTTGTCGTAGTCTTGTTCTTCCAATCTCTTCTTTCTTTCTATCATTGCTTCCTTCTATTTCTTCTTCCGTCAGCATCGATTCCTTCTCGCGGGTAGAGTTGTTTTTATCACTGATTGGTCGATTTCTTATCCAATCTCTCTATCTCTTCCATTCATGAGCGATTGTTCTCTTGTTCTTGTCAATTCGTTCTTGTTTCTATCAATCAATCGATCGCTGAATTGATTCGAGCCTCGCTTGCGATGAAGCCTGCCAAATCCAGCACCAGGCCCGCGATCAAAGTGATCTCCGACAACATCCCCATGACAATCGGCGCGATTCTCACAGGATTCCTCATCTGGAGCTTCGTGCTGGCGCCATACGCGTCCAATTCCCCGGTGGAATCCGAGGAGGAAGAAGCCCACCACCAATTCGCTGCTGCCGCTAGTGGCGACGCATCCAGGCACCCACTCTCCTTTAAATCTCCCTCTTCCTCCAAGAGCTCCAAGAGCTCTTCTTCTTCTTCTTCTTACTCGCACGCCACACAGTACATGCCCGAGCGCACAGACCTCGAATTCCTCCTCAACAAGTCCCTCGCGATCGATCCCCTGCTCAACACGTCCTTCGCATTGGGTCCCCGAATCACCGACTGGGACGAGCAGCGATCGCGCTGGTTTGCCGACCACAACCAAGATCGCGATCCCTCCAAGCTCTTGCTCGTCACTGGCTCCCAGCCCCATCCATGCCTCAACACTCTGGGCGATTACATGCTCCTGCGATCCACCAAGAACAAGATCGACTACTGCCGCCTCCACGGCATCGAGTTGTTCTACAACGCCGCCACTTTCTCGTCCGATCTCCCCAGCTGGTGGGTCAAGCTCCCGCTGCTGCGATCCTGGATGATCGCGCGCCCGGACGTGGAGTGGTTCTGGTGGATGGACAGCGACGCCGTTTTCACCGACATGGCCTTCTCCATCCCTCTGGATCGCTACAAGGATCACAACTTCGTGCTCCATGGCTGGGATCATCTCATCTACGGCGAGAGGAAGTGGACGGGGCTCAACATGGGAATCTTCCTGGTGAGGAACTGCCAGTGGACGATGGATCTGCTGGACACGTGGGCGCCCATGGGATTCCGGGGGATCGTGGCCGATAGAATCGGCAAGGTCCTCACGCTGGCTCTTTCCGGCCGCCCGGAAGATTTCGAATCGGACGACCAAGGCGCGTTTATTTACTTGCTCAATGCCGATCGTGCGGCGTGGGGCTCGCGCGTCTACCTCGAGAACGCTTACTACTTGAATGGCTACTGGAAGGATCTAGTGGAGAGATACGAGGAGTTTGCGAAGAACAGCCACCCGGGATTTGGGGACGATCGCTGGCCCTTTGTCACGCACTTCACGGGATGCCAGATTTGCAGCGGCAAGATCAACAATGTCTACACGCCGGAAGAGTGTAGGAGGCAAATGGATCGCGCGCTGTTCTTCGCGGATAACCAGATCTTGCAGGGGATTGGATATGTCCATCCCAGCCTCGCGACGCACGAGATCGTGGCTGCTGCCAAGAGCAGCGACGAGCAAACTTGATGGATTCGCTCACCGGTGAGTGAATCCAATCGATCAATTATACAAGAAGCAATGGATTGTGACAAGCTCGATCGAGTCGATGGGATATATTGGATCAATCGATTGGTTGCTCATAGGATTCGTATGTGATGAGAGGTTTTACGTTGACATCAATCGATATCATGGCGGTACTTCCATAAGATTCATTTAGATCGATCAAAGTTCTATTATAATATTTTATGCTTATTAACACGTTAAACACCGGTTAGCAAGAATTATAACAATACACTCTATTCACACTTCGAGTTCTTGTGGAGGAACCTCACGACGACGCAAGTTATATTGTCAGCGCTTCCTTTGCCATACGCCTCGCTCGTTAATCTCTTGGCTGCTTCCTCCGGATCCAGTATGGATTGGACCATCGACACAGCGTCCTGCCAAGAACAAGTGAATTCACAGCCTTTGAGATCAAATCACGAAGCTCACCTGGTTTGTCAAAACATCCCACAAACCATCGCTCGCGAGGAGTAAAAACTCGACGTCTTCCGTTATCCTCTCTTCCTGTCAGTGTCTCGAGGTGAGCTACGAAAGACCGTCGCAAAAAACTAGCAGCAAACCTGGATCTCTGGATCCGCGAGGACGAATTTCTTCAACGAGCTGTCTCCAAAGGCTCTAGACACGGCCAGCACGCCTCCAACTCTCCAGGTTCCTAGACAAACGCACGAGACATCGTCAATCCGAGCCAAAAAGTGCTTTTGCGTGCATACCCAAATACAAGACATATCCTCCAGCGTTTTCTATTCTTTGGCGCTCGTCCGATCGATCCGGCTTGTGATCGTTGGATAAGGGAACGGCTGGAAAGAGTAGCACACGTGAAAACCATCACACCAAATAATAAAAACCATAAAACGTACCTTCACCAGCCTTGCACAGCACCGCTCGTGAATCGCCCAGGTTGGCCACAAGCAAGCGATCTCCAACCAAGATCGCTGTGGAGGCCGTGGAGCCACACTGATCGGGGCCATTGTGCAAGTAGTCCGCATCGGTTTTTCTATAGGCCTCCTCTGGAAAGAAGGAAAAAAACAAAGAAGAAGAATGTTAAATCAACCAATCAATCGTTTGCACGAAGATCCACTAACCAATAGCAAGCTTCGTGTTGCTCACAAAGTGAGGATGTCTTGTCAGGTTGTCAAAGAGGTTTTTCTTCACATACTCGGCAGCCTCAGAACCACCGTGTCCTGCAAGAACCAAGAGAATTCTCGATGAATCCTGGTAGAAGAGAAACTAGGAAAGCCTCACCATCGAAAACTCCAAACAAACCCACCACAGTATCATCTATCTTGGAAATTCTAGCATCGTAGAAATCTTCCATTGACATCCTCTTCCCGCAAAGGCTCGAGTAGCCATAGCTGAATCGCTCATCTTCGCTGTCAAAGAACAAACAAACACCTCTTAGCCCCAAATTCACCGACACAAACTCCAACCTTAGCCCGCTGCCACTGACCGGCGGCCGAGAATCGCTAGATAGAAACGCTTCCGTCAAGCAACGCATGATTTCCTCCCCACAGCTGATCCAAAACCTACATACCGCGGCGCACAGCCTCCTCGCGCTCCCAGATACGAGACCTAAACTCGCATTCGCAATCTCCACCTCCCGCGACACGATCGATCGATCGATCTCGTCCCAGCACCACAAACTCTATCCCCGCGTTCGAGAAAGACCTAGCCAACCTTGGCCGTCGGATCCTCAAGAACAACGCGGTTCAAACAATCCAACGGTCGGGGCCCTGTAACTTAGTCGCCTAAAGCGGGAATATTATTTCTTTTGGCAAGAGCTAAAGCCCTAGGGCAGATTTCTAGGGTTTCTTGCTTCTTTGGGCGCCATGAGCAAGAGCTTGGGGATTCCAGTGAAGCTCCTCCACGAGGCGGAAGGTCACGTCGTCACGGTGGAGCTCAAGAGCGGCGAGCTCTACAGGGGTACGCTGATCGAGTGCGAGGATAACTGGAACTGCCAGCTCGAGAATATCACTTACACTGCCAAGGTTTGCCCCAATTCCTAGTTTTTCTCTCGGTTTCTCGTGCTTACATTGGTTTCTCGTGTTTTTCTCGTTCTCTAGGATGGGAAGGTTTCGCAGCTCGAGCATGTCTTCGTTCGCGGCAGTAAAGTCAGGTATTGCGAAAATAAAATGTTTAGAGATTGGAACAAAGTTGTGATTTTTTCTTTCTTTTCTTTCAGGTTCATGATCATTCCTGACATGTTGAAAAACGCTCCGATGTTCAAACGATTGGAAGCCAAGATCAAGGTACGATGATCCTCTCTTATTTTTTTCTTTCCAGGTGCTAGATTAATTTTCTTTCTTTAACATTCCTTTCTGCAGGGGAAGGGCTCTGCTGGAATTGGAGTTGGAAGAGGACGAGCGGTATCCATGCGGGCGAAGGTAATGTTCTTCGACTTCTCTCTTCGTTTCCTTCTCTCTTTTATTTTCCTTCTTCGTTTTGTTTCTAACAAAGTGTGTTTTAGCAGGCAAGAGCTGCTGGTCGAGGCGTGCCGCAGCCAGTCCCTGGTGGCCGAGCCATGCCCGTGAGGAGATAGAAATGTGTTTAAGTTCTCCACCTTGCTGCCAAACTCCCAACGCTTGTAGCTGGACGCACCTTGTGAGAATTTTTGGTATGCTATTAGATCCTTAATGGTTTTAGTTTCTATGTATGGAGCAGGATCCAATATTTGTACGCAATCCGCCCTTGGTGGTTTTTTGATTTCCAGAAACCATAGGTAATTCACATAGGTGATACGCTCTTCTCTTTCGATTTTTCTCCTAGGCCAGTTGAATCGCTGTAGGAAGATCTGGAGCAGGACAAATTGTCCACCACCATCTTAATTCTTCTGGCCAGCGCGTTTTCAGCTGAAGCGATTTAACCAGCGCTCCACCCGTTTAAAAGAGTTATTCGAGCACGCACAGTAAGAGGAAGAAAAACAATGTCGAGGACGATGACAAGCTCTCTAGCAGGTAAGCGTGCTCTCGATGGTCATGTTTCTTGGATAACCGGGATCTCTTGTTCATCCTTGGGACGATCCGAGCGCTGTATAGCAGCAGTCCGGTAGTAGCTGGAGGCCTCTCTCCGCCGAGCAGCAACAGCCAGAGATCTTTAACTTCCAGCCAGGCTCGCTGGATCCAATCGAGCAGGAGTATGAGCTTGGGTCCGAAGATGGAGGAAGATCAAGCAGTGTGAGAAGGGGATGATGTTGGTGAGGAACTACTGCCAGCTCCACTGCATAGACATGTTCTACAACGTTGCGAAGCTCGAGCGTTCCTTGGCGGGACTCTGGATCTCTTGGATCCCAGCCGTTCTGTAGCCCTCGTACTTCCGGATCGGAATCCGGAATGTCATGTCCGTGAAGAGCGGCCTCACCTCGTGTACGGCAACCGCAGCTGGACCGACCTTGGGATCTGCTGGACATTCTGGCGCAGAGGGGATCCGACGGCCCAGACAGCGTCGGAATTGGCAAGATCCTCCACGCGACGCTCTCTGGCCGTCCAGATCTGGAATCCGACAACCAGGGTTCGCTGCTGAGAGGGCGAGATGAGGCGGGAAGATCTTCTCTTCTGCTTTGTCAGCTATAGATTTTAATGTTTCGCTAAAACATATTTATGATAAAGTTTAATAATTTTACCATTATTGATGCTCTGCTAGTGTATAAATCACAAAATTACACCAAACATGCGATCCCATCCAAGAGAAAATGGCCGGATCCTCATTGCGTCTAAATGATCCAAGTGGCAGCTCCAAATATAAACCACAAAAAAAATTCCTCCATTACCAAACACATCGTTGCGCTCCCATTCCCAGGGGAAGGCCATGTCTCTCCCCGAGCTAGCTGACGATGTGATCCTCTCAGATCCTGAAGTGCAAAGGTCGGAGATACCGTGGCATTTTTGCAACGACAAAGCTTACCAGGATCAACAGCCAAGCTCTCATGGCTGCCGATCTCGCCATCGTGAACACCTACCAGTCGGTCCTCTCAACGACGAGCCACACACTGTCAGATTTGGCGTATGCGATACCGATTGGAGCTTTGCGGCCATGACTGGCGACCAGATGGAAGAAATCGTGCGAGGACTGGAAGCCAGCAGCAAGAAATTCCTGTGGGTGATCCGACTCGAGCAGCCAGAGATCTCCAAGGTCCGATTCCCAAGCACGGATCAAGGAATGGTCGTCCCGTGGTCGCCCCAGACGAAAGTAGCGGTTGGAGCTTTTATTTCTCACTGCGGCTGGAATTCTACGGTGGAGGCCGTCGCCCGTCCTCTGTTGGCCACTGCTGTTCGAGCAGATAAAAAATCTATAATGCATAAAATTAATAAAGAAAACACCATATAAAAGAAATAACCTTTTGAAATCAAACTTTTCATCAGCCTTTATCTAGATTAATTGAACCAAGCAAATTTCCATACACGAGTAACTTCACATAAGTTACATCATAATTTTTATAAATTTCCATTGTAGCATTTCCTCATTTCCTCTTCAAATTTTGTAATAGGATAAAAAAACAGGATGCTTATAATGCATTTCAGCTATCATGTATATTTTGTTCATCGCTCACTTGTTCTTTAAAATAATTGTCCAATTCATCAATACTTTGTTATTTCCTATGCTTCTCTTATTGATAATGACTTATCCTGCTCAATCAAGATATTTATGAATGAGTATTTATGTGGTAGGATAAAACATTTAGAATTTCTATGAACAACCCTCTCTTTACATCAAAATGTGTATCATTTCCTCTCTGATTGGATCAAAATCAATTTAAAATTTTCACTATTATCCTTAAATTGTTGATTGAATCATAACTAGCTCATAAATTAACTCTATCTAGCATCTAGCCATGATTAAATCAGATTGTGATACATACATATATATATGATATTTGTGATATCTAGATTATGATGCAAAAGTTTGGAATTCTAAAATCCTTAGAATTTAAAATTTTATATCATTTTTTTTGTTAGTGTTTTAGCTTTATACTAAATCTTGAATGTGATTAAAGAAGAATGTAAATGTAGTTTGGATATCCAAAAATATAGTCGTCATGATCAAGTTTTGGGTATTCATTAACATTTACAAATACAATTATCGAATGTCGAGCATATAGATATATTGTTAGACATTTTTTTGAGTTATAGAAATTTATATTAAGATGAACTTATGTGAAATTGTAGGTAGTAGGAAGTTGATTGAGTTATGAGAATTTATATTCTTGAATGGAGAGTCATTCTTTTTCTAAAATGGAAATGTTTCCACATATTTTTTAGGCTTTTTCTAATGGTTGATTTATTGATCATTTTACCCAAAAACTATTTTATTTATGTGAGCCATTGGAAATTAGCCAAAGTTTAGAGTTGACTTTGGTTAGCTTAGAATTTAATAAATAGTTTGGCTCAAAAGGGATGCTAGCTTTTGAGACTAATGCAATTAAGTTAGATAAAATTTAGAGTTAGAATAAAAAAGTGGTATTATGTTTTTCTAGAAAAATGACCTTGATGCATTTCTTTATAGCATTATGTTTGGTTGTAGGTTATATCTTATATTTTGTTATACTTTATAGTGAGATCTTACTGATCTTTGAGTTAGTCTTGGTGTCTTAGACATAATATTTCATTCATTGATGATGTGTTATTTATAGTGAGTATTGTTGAAGTCAGATATTAAATAAATATATCTTTAATCTTGGTTAGCTTGGTTGCTAAAAAGCTTTGAGTGGTGATTCATTTTAGCTTTCTTTTAGCTTTATTTTTGTGTTAATGGCACTGAATTGATACTTTAATATTGACATTATTGAAGTTAAGATTGAAATGAGATGAAGTGTTTTCTTCATAGGCATAGTTGAAAGGTTGGATTTTTCATTTGTGGTAATTCAGATAATTGGTGATTGATGAGGGCCCATAAAGATAGAAATTTTATTTCACTAGTTTTGATAATAATGGTATTGATAATTTAGTCATACCTTTGTGTTATTAACATTCGTTCATTTAGCTAGTTAGCAACTATGTTAGTGCTCAAATAAACTAAGTGATAAGTTGGGTTAGCTATATTCTAGACAAGATTGAGCCAATTCATACATGCTCTTTATCCTGGACTTTTTTACTTTGTACTTAGTCCTAAAGTTAGGATAACTTAAATTTAAGTTATTTTCACTAGAATAATGCTGATTCACACTTAGTACTATTTTGAGGTGGTACTTAACTGAAATTTAGGACATGCATATCTATATGGTTTTTGAATGTTATTAGAAGGTGATCATGCTATTGTTACTTCATTATTAAAGTAGAAAAACCTGGTTGGTCATATTGCTCAGTAGGCTTTGAAGCTTCAGATATATGATTTTGATGTTGTTCATCGCACATGGAGTTCTATGGCTAATGCTAATGCCCTTTCTCGAGCTCCTCTTCCTCCTTCATTCTTTTCTCATGTTTCTGATGAGCCCATTATTCCAGTATTTGTGGATTTTCTAGATGAGAATTCTATGCCATTAGCGGTTGTTATACTTAACGTTCAATGTTCACAAAGTGCAAAGTAAGATTTACCCTCTTTTGATGAGGTTTACGAAGCTTAAAAGATTGAGCCATGGATTCAAAGGCTTCGAAATGGGTTTAAAAATCCTACATCACTTATTGATGACTTGCCATTCCAGCATTTACATTCTCAATATCACCTTAAAAACGGGCTTCTTTATTTTGTGGGGAC